GTTTTTTTTGTTGTTGGTTTATGGAAGTGTTATTGGGAGGTGTTTTAGTGTTGGGGCGAGACTTGTGGGTGTGTCTTTATTATGCAAGCTTTTGTGGTTGAAGTGATTGGTGTGTTGTGTGGGATATGATTTGGTGAATCGTGTTGGAATGAGAGGGGGGATGGATTGTCGTGGTGTGGTATGTTGTTGTGATGTTCTAGATGTGCGGGGGATGGACTAAATCCATGAGGGCGGGGATGCTGTGATATTTTTTCCAAGTGAAAACTCTATGGTGGTTATAGTCATCTAGATCTCTTTTAAATTTGGCAATTTGTTTGATACTATGAGGTTCTCTTGATGTTTGGTGTTCTTTTTTAGAGTTTTTACCAGCCACTGTGTGGGTAATTTGTGTCCGCTGTCTAGGAATTCTTGTAACATGATTTGGATGTGATGTGTATGCTGTTGTTGGGAATTTGTTCTCTCTTTGGGAGATGATGACTTCTATCCACTTGGTGGTACAAAATTCAGAGAGATTTTGCCAATTTTTTGGTTTGTAGGATCCAAGAAGGGCAGGCCTTTAAGATTCTCAGGCCTCTAGGGGTAATCTTGTATGTAAGATATTGATTGAGGAAGAATTTGCCCCACCATTGGTGGTTGGCGATGGAAATGAGTCTTTTCTAATTTTTTAAATTTGCCCCCAAAGAGATAACGTGTCTTCCTTGGTAATATGATAAGATCAGAAAATAAATCAGATGGAAAGAGGGTAAAGAAATTGTCTAGGATATCGTATCTGATTGCCTCAATATCATGGAGTAGCTCCATGATAAAGGTGAATGGATGGATAAGTATTCAGTGGTGTATGAGAGAGAAGAAAAAAAAAAAAAAAAAAAATTCGATAAAAAACATTCGATTAAAAAAAAAAAAATTAAAATAATTGAAAAATTATTGAATTTGTCAAAAATATAGATTGTATAAAAATTGTTTGAGAGAAAAGAAAGGAAAAAAAAAAAAAAAGGGAAAGGAGAGAGTGGTTAATTGACAATTAGTTATGGAGTAGTGAATGGGTAAAATAGTGTTGGTAATACAATGAGTAAAAAAATATTAAATCATAATGATGATGGTCAAATTACAGAAAACGACCAAATAACTAAATACTACAAATAAATGTCTAGGTATACATGCATGTACACATATATGCACATTAAACACACATATGTTTGCCAACCCATGCACAGGCATGTACATGTGGAGGACTAAGTGAGTGGATGCTGCTGGTACTGCTACATGAGCACAAAATGATTCAGAAAAAATGAGGAAGGGTTGTAACAGCGCAAACACTGCAAAGTCCTGGGAAATGGTAGTATGGGTGATGGTGGTATTAGTGGCTACTGTATGAAGAGCGTAGGATTCCGTGTGGCACTGAGGGCAAGGCTTCCAAATAAGCTGTAGCAACTTCTGTAGATGAGAAAAAGGAGAGAAGCGCCTCTAAGTGTGCGTTCCATCCGGCTCTGAGGGAGGACGTGCATGAAGGCCGGCCTCACCGCTGTTCCCCCTCCAGCCACCCCTCCAGCCACCACGCTGTTCCAGCCGAGAGCTGACCTCCCCACATCGCAGAGAGATGACGGCTCTTCACCCGGGTTACCACCCCACCGTTAACGATTGTTAACCACGGTTTTTATGCTTATGATTACTTCACACATGTGAGTGTTTTCTACATTTAGACTTGAATTAAAAGACTTATTGCACTTAGAGGCGCTTCTCTCCTTTTTCTCATCTACAGAAGTTGCTACAGCTTATTTGGAAGCCTTGCCCTCAGTGCCACACGGAATCCTACGCTCTTCATACAGTAGCCACTAATACCACCATCACCCATACTACCATTTCCCAGGACTTTGCAGTGTTTGCGCTGTTACAACCCTTCCTCATTTTTTCTCTATCTCCCCCCCATTGCCTGGGAATTCCAGCCTGGTATCTGTCAGAGTGTGGATCCATCATCCTCCACTCACTGACAACTGTCACCCTGCCACTGCCAGCCACAGATACAGTCCATCCGTGACACTGATTTTATCTTTAATATTGGTGCTGGTGGCATCTTATGGCACTTATTTTTGCAAAATAAAAGAAATTTAGCAGTTTTCATGTTTTGTTGATTTAATATTTTCTGTTTAAAAAACAAAAAAAAAGTATTTATTTTTGTTGGGGGGGGGGGGGGGCACAAGTAGCTAGTCTTGCCTAGAGCGAAAATTGTCTAGCACCGGCCCTGCACGTCAGTGAATTATATGAGGCTAATACAAAATAAAGTGTAGGTATATACCCTGTTTAAAAGTGCTTCTAAAGACTTTAAGGTTTTTTTTAACCTTAATGCATTCTATGCACACAGGTAAGAAACACTTCTGTGCTGCAGGATCCCCCCAGCCCCCCTTATACTTACCCAAGCCTGATCCCGATCCAGTGATGTGCACAAGAACAGCGTCTCTCACTGTTGTTTCCCTCCTCACTGGACCAATGTCTCCTGCTGCTGTCAATTAAATGCTGTGATGAGGGAACGGGGACAGGGCTAAGCTACCTGGTCTGTGTCAATAGATGCAGACAGGGTAGCTTAAGAGTGAGCATGCACAAGTATCATCACAGCAAGTGGCTTTATTATCGGGGCAGTTGCCAAAGAGGAGGTGCCAGGAGCGCCAGCAGGGAACCCCAGCAGAGAAGGATCAGGGCTGCTCTGTGCAAACCCATTGCACAGAGCAGGTAAGTATGACATGTTTATTATTTTTAAAGTAAAAAAAAAAAAAAGTTTAATGTCACTTTAAAAGACATTTAATATAATAGACCACTACATTAACAGATCTTGCTTATATATTTGCTTGGTGTTGACTTTAAGAACAGTGGAAACAACTGTATATGTATATTTTTCAGGAAAAGTTCTTCGAAATCACTTGTAATCTTCCAAGGACCAAGATAAGAGGCCCTTCTTGTAATCAGAGAGTGTTTTGTTAAAAATGCATGGATGGTACATTTTATGTTTTAGGAAGAATGAATTTTTTAATAAAATCTTTGAATCAGCTGTAAATAGGTATGTACAGCATGTAGTTCAATGTCCCTGCTAGAATCATATAGACACATGTGAAACACACTGGAGCATCAGGAGGAAACCTGCAGAATGAAAGGAAAAGGGTTGTTATAGTAGTATGTACTGATGGTGCTACCATGTGGTGCTTTTGCTTTGCAGTGACTGTATCAAAGCTGCATGTACAAATGGGTGCTAATTCTTTCCATGGGAATTCATGATATCCACACATTCCTGTGGTATTGACAGCTGTTTGTGACACGTAATCAGAATTCAGATTTTCTTGTGTGTATATACACCCTGTTCCAAATTATTATTCAAATGATATTTTTCTCATTTACCTAAATAATTGATGTAAATAACAGTCAGCATAATTCTCATGTTCTCAACTATTAAGAGTACAATTCACATTTTATTGAACAAACCTCCTAATGATAACAATATTTTTGTTTAAACATGAAAAACTTCCAATGCACTGTTCCAAATTATTACGCACAGTAAGTTTCAAAACACTTTATAGGTTGTAAAGAACTGAAAATTGTCATTTGTTGTGTTTGCAGCATATTTACTGAAATCAAAAGCTATTTCAATCAAACTTTTAACATTTTAACTTTTTAAACATTTTAACAGGTCACGTTACATTGTAACATAGGACCCCTTAGCCACACCATGACTTTCTCTCCTTTTATCCCCATAACAGCCATTGATGTGGAGGTATTCTTTGCAGCATGAGATGGTGCATTGTCATGCATGAAGATGATTTTATTACGGAAAGCATAGTTCTTTCTTCTGTACCAGGGAAGAAAGTGGTCAGTCATAAACTCCACATACTTTGCAGAGGTCATCTTTACACCTTCGGGGACCCTAAAGGGCCGACCAGCTCTGTTTCCATGATTCCGGCCCAAAACATGACTCCACTACCGCCTTGCTGACGTCGTAGCCTTGTTGGAACAGGGTGGCCGTCCACCAACCATCCACTACTCTATCTATCTGGACCATCCAGGGTTGCACGGCACTCATCAGTGAACAGGACTGTTTGAATATTAGTCTTTATGTATTTTTCTGCCCAATGCAGCCGTTTCTGCTTGTGAGCATTGGTTATTGGTGGCCGAATAGAAGGTTTATGCACAGTTGCAAGACTCTGGAGGACTCTACACCTTGATGTCCGTGGGACTCCAGAAGCACCAGCAGCTTCAAATATCTGTTTGCTGCTATGTAATGGTATTTTAGCAGCTGCTCTCTTGATCCGATGCATGGATCTGGCAGAAATCTTCCTCAATCTGCCTTTATCTGCACAAACCCGTCTGTGCTCTGAATCAGCTGCAAATCTCTTAATAGTGCGATGATCACGCTTAAGTTTTCGAGAAATATCTAATGTTTTCATACCTCGACCAAGGCATTGAACTATTTCACTCTTTTCGGCAGCAGAGAGATCCTTTTTCTTCCCCATATTGCTTGAAAATGGTGCTCTGCTTAACCACTTGCCTACCAGGCACTTATACCCCCTTATTTACCAGGCCAATTTTCAGCTTTCAGCGCTGCCGCACTTTGATTGACAATTGCGCAGTCATGCAACATTGTACCCATATGAAATTTTGATCATTTTTTTAAAAATAGAGCTTTCTTTTGGTGGTATTTAATCCCCACTGGGCGCTTTACTTTTTGCTCTATAAATAAAATAAGTGCAAAAAATTTGGAAAAAAAAAAAAAGTTCTTTGTTTCTTTTATAAAATTTTTCAAACAGGTATTTTTTCTCCTTCACTGATGTACGTTGATGAGGCAGCACTGATAGGCGGCACTGATGGGCACTGATAGGCAGTACTAATGAGGTGGCACGGATAGGCGGCACTGATAGACAGCACTAATGAGGTGTCACGGATAGGCGGCACTAATATGCAGCACTGATAGGCGGCACTGATAGGCGATGATGGGTACTGATAGACGGCACTGACTAGCATCACTGCTGGGCACTGACTGGCGGCCTGACTGGCACAACCCCTGGGCACTGGTGGGTGGCACTGACTGGCAGCACTGCTGGGCTGCACTGGTGGGTGGCACTGGTGGGCAGCACTGGTGGGTGGGCACAGGTGGGTGGGGTGGGCACAGGTGGGTGGCACTGCTGAGCACAGGTGGGTGGCACTTCTGGGCACAGGTGTGTGACACTGCAGAGTGGCACAGGTGGGTGCACTGCTGGGCACAGGTGGTTGCACTGCTGGGCACAGGTGGGTGATCTGCTGGCACAGGTGGGCGGAGCTAGTGGGCGCACTGCTGGGCACAGGTGGGCGAAACTTGCGGGTGGCACTGCTGGGCACCGATCATCAGGGCACTGATCATCAGTGCCCTGATGATCGGTGCCGATCCCCGCACTGACAACTGGCAGTTCTCGGCAGTACTTTCCTCACGATCTGACAGCGTGAGGAAAGTGCAGCCGAGAACCGGCACTTGCATTTCCTTCTGATCAGCGTGTCATTGGACACCGCTGATCACGTGGTAAAAGGCCGCTGTGATTGGCCTTTTACCACATCACGTGATCAGCTGTGTCCGTAGGACACAGCGATCACGGAGATCGCCCGGTGCGCCCCCTGGGGCGCGCAGGAGAGCGCGTTCTGGGAGGACGTCATATGACATCCACTCAGAACTGGCCGGCCGCAGTGAAGCCGTCATTCGGCTATCTGCGGTCGGCAGGTAGTTAATAATGTGGAACACCCTCCTTTAGTAGTTTTTCCTTAAATTGGGCTCACGGCCAATCTAATTATCACAGGTGTCCAAGATTGTTTTCAGTGATCAAAAGAGCCCTGACACACAATGCCATCCATGAGTTAAACTGAAAAACAAAATATTTAATCTTTGTGACACTTAAATAGAATTTGCATAATAATTTGGAACGCGGTGTACAGTTGTGTTCAAATTAATAGCAGTCAGACATCACTAACCTGATCAATCACTGTTTTTGGTAGAAATTATATTTCTACATGGCAAATAATTTACTAGCAGGTGTAGTAGAGTAATAGAAATCCAACAGACCCAACAGTCATGACATGCATGCTGCTGATTCTGTGTAATTAAATCACTAATTGAAATGGGCATGTTAAAAATAAATGCAGTGTGGAGTTCTATTAGTGAGGTCATTCATTCTTTGAAAAACAGGTGGCAATTATTGCCCTTATTTAAGGAAGGAAGGCAGCAAATGTTGTACATACTGGTTACAGTGCATTTCTCTCTGAAATTCTGAGGAAAATGGGTCGTTCCAGACATTGTTCAGAAGAACAGCGTACCTTGATTAAAAAGTTGATTGGAGAGGGGAAAATATATAAAGAAGTACAGAAAATGATAGGCTGCTCAGCTAAAATGATCCCAAATGCTTTAAAATGGCAACCAAAACCTGAAAGACGTGGAATAAAGCGAAAACTACCATCGGCATTGATAGAAGAATAGCCAAAATGGCAAGGACTCAGCCACCAATCAGCTCCAGGAAGATCAAAGAAGGTGTAAAGTTACCTGTGAGTACTGTTACAATTAGAAGACGCCTATGTTAAGCCAAGCTATCTGCAAGAAGCCCCCGCAAAGTCCCACTGTTGAAATAAAGACATATGCTGAAGAGGTTACAATTTGCCAAAGAGCACAGTGACTGGCCTAAAGAGAAATGACGCAACATTTTGTGGACTGATGAAAGTAAGATTGTTCTTTTTGGGTCTAGTGGCCGGAGACAGTTTGTCAGACGACCCCCAAACACTGATTTCAAGCCACAGTACACTGTGAAGACAGTGAAGCATGGTTGCGCAAGCATCATGATATGGGGATGTTTCTTATACTACGGTGTTGGGCCTATTTATCGCATACCAGGGATCATGGATCAGTTTGAATACATCAGAATACTTGAAGAGGTCATGCTGTCTTATGTTGAAGAGGAAATGCCCTTGAAATGGGTGTTCCAACAAGACAACGACCCCAAACACACCAGTAAACGTGCAACATCTTGGTTCCAGACCAACAAGATTGACGTTATGGAGTGGCCAGCCCAATCCCCGGATCTTAATCCAATAGAAAACTTGTGGGGTGACATCAAAAATGCAGTTTCTGAGGCAAAACCAAGAAATAGAGAACTGTGGAATGTAGTCCAATCATCCTGGGCTGGATTACCTGTTCACAGGTGCCAGAAGTTGGTTGACTCCATGCAACACAGATCTAATATTCACTTTTCTTCAATTTTTTTTAGAGGAACAACACAAATTTGATATATTTTCCCTTATGTTAAATGCTATTAGAAGGATTTTGAGCTTTATTCACTTTTTTCAACACACTGCTATTATTTTGAACACAACTGTATTTGGACCCAAAAATGAATTGCATTTGTTCTTGCAAACACTGCCTGAAGGATGCACCAGATAGCAATCTCAGCAACAGTAAACTCCTTCATGACCAAAAGTAATTGAAGTCTAGATGCCCAGACCAAATTTAGCAGTGGAAATATGTACTGGTCAACTTCTCAATAATTCTGTGACTAATTTACTTAGGGTTTTTGTACGTAAAATCCTTTCCTTGAAATCCATTTGGAGACACAGTTTTATTAAGCAACCCAAGGTTATACTTTGAAACGCGCTCTATCTTCTGTTGAGAGACATAGCTTTATTAAACAACCCATAAGTCTTTGAGGCAATAGGGGCCACGAAGCATCAGCCAACAGCCAAATGAGGTTGGCATACCACATTCTCCAAGGCCAATCTTGGGTTTTGACAATGACTGGGATGCTCTTAACATCAATCTTCAGTGGCAACAGCTGAGGAAATTATTTCAGTGGACAACAGCATAAATTAGGGTATACTAGTCCCACAGCAAGTACTAGAGCATCTGAAGCCTCCTGTGTCAGATCCTGGGTCCTGAAGACAAATCTGTCCAACTTTTTGTTCAACAAAGATGTCATCAAACCCATGTGCATTCCCCAATGTAGACCTGTATCCTGGAATAATTCAGGGTGAAAAGACCATTCTCTTCAAATGTTCTTTGCTGTAAAAATATACCTGTCAATTTTCTATGCCAAGAATTTGCAGTGCAGAAAGAACCAGAACATGACATTCTGTTCAGGCCAGGATAGCCTTTGTCTCTGTCACTTTTAGTACCACCTCAATTATTGATATGAGCCACAGCCATTGCAATGTGCAATTGCACGTAGACCAGATGACCAGCTAGATGGTGAGTCCAGTATAGCAACAACAGACATGCTTCGCATATCTCCAAGATAAAGAATGGAAGTGACAATTCTTTCTGGGACTAGTGACCCTGGACAGACAGGGGGCTCAGACCTCAATTTCATAAGTCTGGAATCTGTCATGATGATCTTCCAGCACAGGGAGAGAAAAAATCTGCCCCTTGTCAATGCCAGGGACATCAGCCACCAAGACAGTGACAAATGTTTTTCGAAGATGGAACTATTGAATTGTCCCATGCCTTGAGGATGTTACACTTGAAGCTGCTTGAGTAGAATTGAGCATATGCAACTGCTTCAAAAGTAGAGTATGGAGATTCTGAGGGAAGAATGGTGTTGGGAGTGAAATTGTCAAACCTGTCAATGACGTTTTGTCAACGCCTCCTTGGGCAGGAAAACCTTGGTCTGAAGAGTATCTAGAGGAAGACCCAACTACTCCAAGTAATATGACAGAATTAGAGATAACTTGTGGTCATCAATCCGCCCAAAGTCCTCCAGGGCAGACAAGGGCATTGAGGGCCTTGAGATCCAATAAGGGTTAGTGGTATTGGGTTTGGAATTGTAAACAGGTTTGAAGAGGCACAAAGTGAAAAACCAAGGAGTAAGCAGGTGAACTATTTTATAGCCAATGGGCCTTAATGTTCCACACCTAGGCAGCAGCTATGTTAGCCCCCTTAAAATGTGGAAAAAAGGCCAATAGGCATCCCCTCTACCATCCATAAAACTGGTGGTGACAAACTTTGAGGTGGTAGTGGACTTGTCCGTAGGTTTGGAGACCTTTTTCTGCCTTAGTCTTCTTCCTCAGGAACTCTTCTTGTAAGTGTGGAATCTGGATTCAGATTTGGAAAAATAAATGAAAGGCAAAAAAAGGATAGACCTGTGACGCTGCTCTTTACTTTTGTATTTCTGAAATAAATGAGTACTCTTTTTTTTTTTTTTTACACGTTTGTTCTGCTGACCAGTCCTATGAATTTGCACAGTGGCTAAATGGTTAGCACTTCTTCCTGGCAGTACTAGGGTCATTGGTTTGAATCCAAATCACGGCACCACCTGCCTGGAGTTTGCATGTTCACCCTGTGCCTATGTGGATTTCCTCCGGGTACTCCAGTTTCCTTCCACACTCCAAAGACATGCAGGTAGGTTCCTATCTAAATTGGTCTAGTATGGATATGCAAGAATGTGAGTTAGGGACCTTAGATTGTACACTCCTTGAGAGCTAGGGATTGATGTGAATGTACAATATACATGTAAAAGCTCTGTGTAAGTTGACGGTGCTATATAAGTAACTGTAATAAATCTGAACAGAAGAAAGATCTACTGTAACTAGGCTAGCATGCACTGGCATGTCACACAGGAAATTAAACGCAATGACCATCTCATTGGTACAAACTGACTGTTGAAACCAGCAGGTGCCAAATCTTTACTGCAAGATTTAGCCCAGTGAGTCAAATTGTGGGAATTGAGTGCAAAACCAGCATAGGTTGTAGGTCAGATTGCATCAAAGTATAAATTATATAAGTGAGTTGATTAGATTTTTTAGTAGCAGTGTTGTTGAAGGAGCATCCTCTATAGGGATGGTCAGAGTCCTAAAGCCTAAAACAGATCAGAAAATCATACAAAAAATACCGTTTTCGAAGCAATTATCTGATAATCTGATTGTTAGTACACAGCTTTCATCTGAAATTATTCGAAGAGACAAGCATGAAACGTTTTCTCATACAATACCAGATCGTGCAATTTTCGTTTAATCACTACAGTTTTTGTCCTGAAAAACCATACAAATACATTACATCACCTTTCTAATTTTTATTCTGTCATACTGTTCTGTCAAGAATTTTTGTAACTTTAGTAACCTCTTCACTTTCGATATGAGACTAGCATGTAAAAAAAAAAAAAAAAAATAGGGCGATCATTCGTTCAATATATATATTGATATATATTCTGATTGTAGCTTTAAGGTTTATGGAAGCTGAAATTGTACACTGTGCTAGGGGAGGGATTTACAGCATCTTCTAACTTCAAGATGGAGCAAACCACCACAATCAGACTAGAAACAGGTTTCCTTTACTTTAGCAAAACTAGTGAGGATTGGAACTCATATAGTGGGGTTTCATTTTCCAGCCATGAAAGGGACTCAGCATCTGACAGTGAATCTTCCAGAGTTTTTCCCTAAGGAATCGTCTATAGCTGGCATCTCTGCACCAGAGGGAAGAAGACAATAGGCATTTTAGACTTATATGATTAA